TGTTGACACGGCCCCCGCTCCCACCCAGCGGGAGCTGGACGGCGCCGGGAGGAGCGGCCCGCACCCCCTCACTCCCCCACCACCACCGGGGCAGCCAAGGCTCGTCCAAGGCCACACGCACACTGTGGTCAGAGGCCAGGGGACACTGGGACGCTCTCGCTTCCGGATTTTTTTTTTTAAGAGACAATGTGCCCGGCTGGCGTGGCTCAGTGGTTCTTATGAATTTGAACCGGACACGCTCCGTCCATCCACTGGGCAGCCGTCCACTGTGCTCGGGCTCCCCGCGCGCTTTCCGCCTCCTACTTCGCTTTGATCTTCGAGAGCCCTCAGAGCGCGCAGCCAAGGGCCCTCGAGGCCGGAAGCACCGGAGCAAAGGGCTGCTCACAGGAGTGGTGACAGGGCCAGCTGGACGGCGCCGGGAGGAGCGGCCCGCACCCCCTCACTCCCCCACCACCACCGGGGCAGCCAAGGCTCGTCCAAGGCCACACGCACACTGTGGTTGGAGGCCAGGGGACACTGGGATGCTCTCGCTTCCGGATTTTTTTTTTTTAAGAGACAATGTGCCCGGCTGGCATGGCTCAGTGGTTCTTATGAATCTGAAAAAAGACAGACATGGTAGAAAAGCTTATGAATGAATGAACGAACGAATGAATGAATGAATACAATGCGTCTGGCACTAGCCAGTCCCGGTCCTCATCTTTGTACTTGGAGGTGATGCCGCATCTGCAGCAGCTCTCTGGGGACCAGGAGGAAGTGAACGTCAAGATGAAAACCAACCCGGTTCTTGGAGGCGGCATGGGAAGTGCGGAGCCTGGGAGCCTGGGAGCCGTGGTCAGCAGCAGCTGCTTCTCATGAGAAAAACAAGCCACTGTTTTCACCAGTGACAGCCTTTTATTACTTCAGGAGACCACCCTAATGACACCACGTAACACGCATGCTTTGCCTGTTCACTTTTATCCGAAACATGTACTCTCCCCCGGGCTCTGCTCTCCCACTCAGCAGGGTGCAGCTTTCCAAATTCAATGTACATTTTATTTATACACACACACACACACACACACATACATATACACATACATATACACACATATATACACACATACACACATGTACACACATACATATACACATATACACACGCACATATACACACATACACACATACACATATATACATACATACACATACATACACATATACACACATATACACGTGCATATATATACACACGCACATATACACACACACATATATATACATATATACACTAGAGGCCCAATGCACGAAAATTGTGCAAGGGGCTTGGGCCTTGCAGCCCTGGCGGCTTGCCCCGGCCCTCACAGCCCCGGCTTCGTCCAGAAGGTTATCTGGCTGTCCGGTCTAATTAGCATATTATGCTTTTATTATTATAGATTATTGATTTCAGAGAGGGAAGGAGAAGGAAGAGAGAAAGAAACATCAATGATGAGAGAGAATCATTGATTGGCTGCCTCCTGCACGTGCCCCACTGGGGATCCAGCCCACAACCCGGGCATGTGCCTGACTAGGAATTGAACCATGACCACTGAGCCACCCTGGCTGCGTTTCATTCAATGTATTTAACCTGAACAAAACCAAATGGTTCACCCACATCTCCCACCCCTACCCAGCCACCACTCTGTCCCCTGTACCATGTGCTCAGTCCGTGTGTCTGTTTATCTGCCCGATGTCCATAGCAGGTTCCCATGTAAGGGAGTACAGGGCCCTTGTTTCTCTCTGACGTACTTCACTTCGCATAACGCCTGGAGGTCCGTCGTGTCGTCACAATGGTGAGATGTCCTCCGTGGTTGTGGCTGCGTGATGTTCTGTTGTACACAGCTCCCTTCTGCTCTGTCCCTTCTTCTATCGGTGGACACTGGAGTTTTCACGCGTGGCTACTGTAATGACACAGCAGCGCACAGGGTGCAACTGCCCTTCTGAGTGTTCTTCTTCAGATAAACACCCGGGAGTGGGCTTGCTGGCCGCATGGCTGACCGGTTTTGATTAT